CAGCTGACAAAAACTAATAACAGCAAAACAGTAGCTAAAACCTCAAAGGAGCTGGATAGATGCCAGATGCTAAAATTTACATCTAAATTAATGCCAAAAACCTAAATTAGCTAAGCAGTAGGTAAACATGACAACATAGAAACTAATAACTAAAATGATAAAATTGTGCCTCAAAACTTTAAAAGCTTAAAGTTAAAAATAGCAAAATGCTAGCTAAAATTTAAAAGCAACAAATTAGCAACATGTTCCTGTTTTTAGTTTTCTACATTCGCCTTAGAATCTAGTTGTTTTTTGTTACTTTTTTTTTTATTAGCCATCCTATTTGTTAAAAAAATAAAAGTCTGTATGACTTTTTATAACTGTTTATTGTTGTTGCTGTTGTCCATTGTTGTCATGATTCTGTGATGAAATCAGGTCTCTCTTGTAAATGAGTCCTCGAGGCTCAATGGGATTTACCTGTCTAAATAAAGGTTGAATGAATATTAGCTAAAAGAAGGAAAACACCGGCTTAAAACTAAAAGTGTCTGAATGATAGCTAGAAGTGACAGAGTTCTTGGTAAAAACTCACAGTAGTGGCTGAAGCAGATTTCAAAGAGAACAAAGTTTTTGAAGGAAGAGATTTCAGTGTAGCGCTCATCAAATTTTTACTTTAAAGAAAGGTGAATATTAGAAAAGTTCGAGTTACTCAAACCCAAGTCAGAGCGCTGTTCACAACTGAGCTGAATGTTGTGATATATAATACAAAGTAGAAGTAGTTTAATACAGAATAAGCTATGAACAGGAACACAACAGTGTGAATGCTGACTCAGCGTAGACTTTTAATTCAGTTCAATTCAGTTTATTTCTATAATGCCAGGTCACAGCAGAAGTTGTCTCAGGGCACTGTACAAAAACATTCACATACATAAAAAAGGCAGTTAGTAAAAGTTATCTGTCTAAGGAATGAAGCCAACAGATTGTTTTGAATCTTCACTTTGTCGCAGTCTTCCATCCTGAGCAAGCACAAAGGAGACAGTGGAAAGAAAAAACTCTTTTAACAGGAAGAAACCTCCATTGGAGCCGGGCTCTGGACGAGTGGCCATCTGCTTCGACCAGCTCGATTAGAGGATGGGAAGTAGAAACAGACAAACACAGAATGGCAGGTCCAGATGTACTTTCTATAGTACTTTCACTGGTTAATTGGTCAATCACTGGTTATCACTGGTTATCACTGGTTAACTGGACATCATTAACTTCACACAGACTCTCTCACTGGTACATTTTCATCTTTAAATCACTTCCTGGTCTGCTGCCTTCATACATCTCCTCCTACATGTCTCTGTGTGAGTGCAGCTACAGCGTGCGCTCTCAGGACATCATTACCTGCAGTGTTCCCTCAGTGAGGACTGAACTAGACAAAAGGACCTTCTCCTACTCCGCTCCTGTTTCCTGGAATATCTTACAAAAAGATCTGAAGCTCTCGACCTTTGACCTCTCTAAGTGGCTTCAAACATCTGATAAGTTCATGGCAAAATCCAACGCAGACATGGGCACACACCCCACCACTCAGCCCCAGCTGCTGAGAGCTGCCAATGCACCGGCGGCAGGGGGCCCACCACCGGAGGGGAGCACGACAGGGGGAAGTAGACCCCACATTAAATGGGGGGCCAAAATTTATCCAAGAGAGGGGACCACCCAAAACCCAATCCGAGACATAAACAGGCACACAGAGACAGCCCGACTCAAGTGCTCGAGTACCCGACTGCAGAGATCCTGTAGCTGGTGGAAAACTCGGCTCCTGACAACGGGAGGACCGGGATCAT